CATGAAAATGAAAATTTAAGCAAATTTCAATGGGGAAAAAAATCAACTTAAACTATTGCTTAATTAATTTAAATCGTTTAAATTCATTTTCAAAAAAAAGCAAATTGGAAATAAAAGAATTTATTTTTTATAAAAAACTAAAATATATTCGAGTGAATTTGAAAAATGAAAAGCAACATTCATTCATTTTAATATTAAAGGAATATATAAAAAGAATGATAAATAACTCGATATTAATCAATCAAAAATTTAATTGGAAGAAAATTAAGAAAACCTTATAAAAGATGCGAAAATGGAAAGGTTGGTTGGTGGAGATAAATGAAGAATGAATAAATGAAGAATAAATAGATGAATGACGAAGACTGGTTGTTGAATGTCGTAGTAGCGAGGTGAATACAAACACGGACGTTTTTGCCATTGTGCTCACTCACAAATATTGAGGGCCATAATTTGTCTTGCACTAAGAGTGGTGCTATAATTACTGAAAGAAGAATTGAAAACATGGATAATCCTAACCTTTCCAAACTCGTTCAGCATAATCACAATAATCACATGTTGCTATGAAGTTACGATCAAAATCAATTCGCTCTTAGAGTTTCGCTGTTCATCGATCTGAACAAACACACTTAAGGCATCTAAGTTTCCCTCTTCCTTTCTATTATTATACTCTCATTATCCTTATTATTATTATAGTTCTTTATTATTATTATTATCATCGTTATCATTGCTATTATTTATTAGGTTATTGTTGCTATTTGTTATATTACCATTATTACCACTGCTATTATTATCATTATATTACGTCTATTTATATTTATTTATAATTTTCTTACAATTTGCAATAAAAATATTTTAACACCATATAAATTATGAGGAATTCTTTTAATAGTTGTTGACCAGCGGCAAATTATAGGAGAAAAAAACATAAGATTGAAAGAAAACTGACGGAATTCTTATGAATTTTTAAATTAAATAATAAAATTAATGACCTCGATGATAAGTTCATTAAATGATAAGTTCGATGATATGTACTCATATGAATTTCATGTCAATTTTTACAGAGATGAAAGATAACGAATCCATCCAGAAAATATATTTGATATCTACGATATTTGAAGTTAAAAATAAGAAAACAACGAAAGGGAACAAACACGAAAGAAGAAAAATAAAAGTTTTTTACTGAAGTTAATGGTATCGACTCAAAATGCAAAATGAATGACATTTTAAAAAACAGGTCGATAATGGCCTTTCGATATCATTTTTTAAAATAGACTTATCTTATAAAGATCTCATTGAGTTCATCGCATTTCACTTATTATATTTTCCTGGATAATTATTTGAAGAAATTCTCCTAACAGATATTCTTCGGGCAATATTTGGATGATTTCCCTCGAAATTAGGGAAGTGCTTTTGATTTTTTAAATTTGGATTGTTCAGATGATAACAAATAAGAAACAACATTTGACACGAATTATGAACATCTGAAAGCTAATTAGAACAAAAAACTAGTTTAAAATAATTTTAGTTGATACTGCGACAATTTTTATAATATAAATTTCAAGATTTCTTTCGATTTCTGGAGGATAATGGCAAATTCCTTAAATCCTTGCAGAAAATACAGCAATATAGTACAATGTTTTATGAGCAATCGGCTTATTGGTGAGCGTATCAGGAAGTAGAAAGAAATGAAAAAAACTCGTTTTTTGATGCGTTCCTTAACGGTGATAATATTTTCCTTTCCTCTATTATTTCACGTAGAGTTCCAACGAATATGAAGATAAGGTGAAACAACAAAAATTTTAAGGATTGCAGTGTTTCTTATTTCGCTGAATGCCTTAATATGCACTGTAAATGGTGAAAAATGCATTTAAAACCAAGAAAAAGAAAAACGATTTCAAAAGAACGATTGGCAAAATTATCAGCTCTGCATACTTCAAAGAAAAATTTCGGGAAAAATAGAATAAAGGACAATTTTTGGAAAGCCGAAAAGCATTTAAAAAAAAGAGAAATATCTCGACCGCATGTCTTTGAACTGATAAAAATCGAAAAGATTACCACCAATTTTTTGAAATTTTCTAAAATCTGATCCATCAAAAAAAAAGTGTTTGCGTGTTAGAATAACCAATAACAATTTAATTTTATATCGATTAATTTCTCCGATTTTCTTATATTTATCGAATAATACTCAACAAAAAATAATTTTCTTACATATCAAATATCAAAGAATGTTTAGTAAGTAAATGTTTAGTAACGATGGAATTTCCGATATCGAATAACCCAAGCAATATGCCGTTAAAATGCGGTGATAAATAATTAATTACTTTTCATCCACAAAGACTAATCAATTCTGCCTATTTATTCTTTTGCCGTTCGGTTAAGCGAAATTCTTTGCGTAAATGCTGTAAATAATTTCTTATATCAAAATTGAATTGAATAAGTAGGAAAAAGCAATGAGATAGGCGATGTTCAAGCCATATTGACATGTAAGCAAATGATAATCTGTGCCTTAAAGACTGAATCGTAATCGCAACGCCTCGAAGGCAATAATTAACATTGCTGAGTAAGATAAAACGCTATAATTCTTTGCATAATTTCTTTCTTCTATAACAACACTTGCCATTTTCTAATGCACTCAATTATAGGACGAATAAGGACTTTCTGCTAAAGAATCACTTATAGATAGAAGCACAGATGAGTAAACTCGGAATTATTCGAAAAAAATGCGCTGGACTTGTTAAGTTTATTTTATATATGTAAGCTTAATTTTAAAAGAATATTTCTATGAAATATTTCCTGTCCTTAGTTTTAAAAAAAGGAAGGCAATGTATAGAAATCAAAATATCACTGATATATAGAATAATGTGAATAATTAGTGCAAGTAATTTAAAGGAATAAAATCTCCTTAAGTAATTTAACGTAATTTTTATGAATTAAAGAAATTTTAAAGCTATTAAAAATTATTCAAAGTTTTTTAAGCTAAATTATTTTTATTCTTATTATATTTATCGAATAATAAAACGAATTACTCGCTAAACCCACAAAACGCATAATTTATCAGTGCTTTTACAACCCGATTTTTCTATCGATACCATCTATCGATTTGAAACTGAATTTATCGATCAAATCAATTTTTACCCTGTCGATCCAGTTTTCAATTTCTTCAAAATTTTATTCACTTATTGCAATACCGAGCAAATAATAAATTAACGTATGTATGGGAGTTGATTTTTTGGTTCGTGCCGCATTTCTATTTGTCAGTAATCAATTCAGTTTCAGTACGAAAAGCATCGAGCTATAATAATTAGAACAAAAAATTAAAAATTAAAATTCAAATTTCACTTTTGAACTTAAAGGTTAGTCAAATGCCTAGAAGGTCGGAAACAAGCATCAATTTTATGGTATGCAAAATTGCCAAAATATTATCCATTCATTCTTCCTTCCCTCTGTGTAAATAAGTGAATATCGAGGAAAAACTTTCAATATTTCAGTTTGCATGATATTTTTCAAGAGTCATTCCTTCATTTACCCGAACACGAGAAAAAACCCCCCATATACTTTTATAAGCATTTACGCTTTAGATGCATCCACTAAAATAATTTTAGGTTTAAATAATACCTTAAATATGCACCATCTTAGACAAATCAATTATTCTTTTTTATTGTTTGTTAGCGATATTTTTTTTCAAAATAAAACAAGCTTTTTCTAGTAAAATTTTTAATTTATTAATATTCGGTCGAATATGTAGAGGTAATGCAAAGAGAACAAAATTTTCTAAGCTTAAGCAACAATTTATAATGATTTTATTCGACAAAATAATAAAAATCCGATTCGAATCACTTTTTCTTATTGTTTTGTCATTTTATGTATTTATTAATTTATATTATTATATTAAGAAGAATTAACTAGAAAATAATAGAAAATAATAGTTAATAATAATAGTTGGACGAATTGCTTTATATTAAATTAACAGCAAATTTTGCGTTGAAGAGAAGCATAAATTTTTCATTGCATTTATTCAATAAAATTTATTGAATAAATCCATTTATTAATTGTTGCGAATGGTAGGTTGCGAATTTTATAAATGAACAAAATACAAATTCTCTTAAATTTCATTTGAAAAGAAATGGTGAAAATTTCTTAAAAGAGGAAAAAACCTTCAATTATTGATAATAACTATTTAATGACCTAAAGTGAAAACTTACTCTGAAAAATTTTCGCAATAGTAAAACTTTAAAAAGAAGTTTGACTTTGAACGTGTATTTGAATGTGTGTGATATTTTGATTTTCTAGAGTAATAGCTTTTATTTTTATGATTTCTGAAACGAAAAATATGATTGATCGTTTCGTTCGCTCTGTGCATTTTTATTTCTTATTTATTGATGTGCTATCAGCATATCAATCGAAAAAAGAAAAAATCTAACGATTGATAAAATGTTCGAATAAAATTTCTAAATACAACTGCAAATTAATTTCTTCTTACCTACAAAACACTAAAAGAAAAAATTTTTTTCTGCATAATACGAACATCATTAAATCAATCAATGGGACAGGCGAAGTGACTAAAATTTCATTATATATAAAGGGGGGAAAAAATTTTTTTGCGAACAATGAGAGCTTCTCTCTCATTTTTGATGAGATAATAATGATAATCATATTCAATATGATCGGATTTTCCCGGAAACCATTAACGAAAAACTGCGGAGGATTTTAGATTTCCAAATATCAAGCACAGCAGAAGGCAGCAGAATCGATATATATCGATGCTGAATGTACTAACACATAAATTTTACTTATCACAACTATACGTAACATCTACTGAGTTTGCAAGCGGTTAGAAAGTTAATTAAGGCAATTAAAAAATCTTTTAAGTTAGTTCAGTTTTAGAAAAATGAAGAGACATCGCGAAAGCAATGAAAGCTGTAACTCGGAAACGTCATAATTCGCAGCAGAATCTATGTCAACAAATATGCCTCTTAAAATAAATAATGGAAAGGAAATGTTTATGCATTGGCTTTCATATGCTTATAAGGAAATGATGAATGATATTTAATCAAAGAAACATCAGGAGGAGGCGATGAAATTAAAGAATTATCAAAAGGAAGTGGAGAAGAGTTTGGTGAAATGGAGCCGAATGCTGTAGTTGGTGGAATTCTATGACTGAATGAATTAAAAATCGCATATTCTGATTCTCGCTTCATTGCTTCAGGCATTTGCACACCCAATAACGCCTTTTCCATTTGCGTATGCCTCACTGAAATTCGAAATTTATAAAAGAAAACACCTCATAATTCATTTTATATCAGTAAATATATTAAATTTGAAAATTTTTCTTCGATTTTATGAAATTTGATGCACTTTCAGCAAACATAAACTATATCTAATTTATTACAGTGGCATTAGTTTCAGACACTGTTAGTCCAAATACAATTTTCATTCGGATAATGAATCTGAATCTGAATCCAAATGGTATATTGAACCATCAATTTGCCACTGTTGATAAGAGTGAAGAGTAAATCTTGTCAATAAAGGTTAAATCATGGTGATGCTAGGACGAACCTTCATTTGCACCTCTCCTGGAGGAAAGAATCTTAACCGGTTCCAGGTTCTGCACATTTCAATATAACCAATTTCTTTTAGAACGAATATCAATAAGAAATAACCAGAAATTTGAATTAAATATCAATATTAGCATCAAAAAAAGTTAGAACTTTAGCATACCATGAGCTGCCAAGCCAGGTATCACTTTAATTTTATCCGATACGCTAGGATAGCGGCGGAAATATAAAAATGTATGAAAACAGACGCACATTTGTAATGGAAGAAAAGAAAGTGAAGTGTAGAAAAAGGAATAACCTGAAATAAATTATAAGCTAGTGAAATGAAAAACGATTTGGTTTATTAAATTCATTCTTAGTGTTTGAAGAAAGTGGAAAAAAAATAAAAGAAAAGCATTAAATTCATTGCTGCGCGCTTTTGCGCGAATAAAAAAAAATCAAGTCATAAATCTACAGCTAAATCTATTTTATTTTTCGGCAACATAGTTTTAAACAATTAAAACTCCCCATATTGAAATTTAAATTTCGATGGTTCTCCAGCCGCGTTTGGTTTCATTCTCGGTGCCATTTCATCATCGACCACACAAACAAATTGCAAGACACCCATTAAAATTATCAAACCTGGTTGATAAGCAAATTCTTAGAATTCTTAGAATGTTATGAATTTTTAGTTATTTATTTTCTATGATAACTTTCAAAGCATTATTTCGAGGATATAAAATAATAAAATAATTTAATATGGGACTTAAAGGCTATTAGAAGGTTACTACAAATTTATAGCAAATTTAGTATAGATTTCTTAAACAATCCGATTTTTTTTAACGAAATATTTAAATTATGATTTCAACGATTTTATTACGGGATTTTTTTGCACTAATTTCGTCATGTGAGCATTAAATTCATTAATTTTTTTCGTGAATTCATGTAGATTTAATAGAAATAATATTTACTAAATAATGGAATTCTAATGTCAAAATTGAACACTATCATCAGTATATTATAATCAGTATAATTTAAATATATAAATATATTATTCAGTTATTCATGCATAAAATAAATAAAATCGAACCAATGTTAAAACTCAAAAAAAAAAAAAGAAAAAAAGAAAAAATATTTTGGATGCAATTTTTTTCTTCTGCTTTAAATGTTGAACTTACCCCCGCAAATATATATTATAGCAGATATCAAACTCTGCGAATTTCTTTTTAAATGCCCTATGGTACCAAAGAAAAAAGCCAAATAACATAAGATTGCTCCAATGATATGCATTGTTGCTGGTACTGCTAGACGATCTATAGATTTTTTACGCCATTAACTCATTAATTCATTGATTTAAATAGCAAAATAAAATTAAACAAAATTGGCTTACAGTGAAGGCTATGGAAAATGTTTAAAAAAAGGATTCAAAATAAAGCCTAACTTTCGATAGCTAAAGTGGCAGAACTGTATTCAGTAAGATCTTCGCCAGTGAATATTGGATTCCAGTGGCAACGTCGTTCAATTTCCGCATCTATTTAGAAATATAAAGCTTAAGAAAAAAGATTTTACAAAAATTTTATATTTTCGTTCACGATATTTCGGATTTTTCTGCTTTATCGGCTAAGAGTAAAATAAAATAAATTAAGGATAAATTTAATTTGAAAAGTATAGAAAAAAATAACTTTCTTGCCTAAAATCATTCAATTAGCTTAGAAATGTTTGAGAATTTTTTCATTTTTATTTTTTTGAAGTCAAATTTAAGGATAAATTATTGCGATTAGCATCGATTTAAATTCTTTTTTTTCCAAAAAATTATTTTATGATAATTGCAAAAATGGGTTTAGCAAAGTTGTAATATTCTCTTCGGTTCCAGAATTTTTGCAAATTCGAAGCTAAACTAAGTGTATATTATTATTATCATTATTATACTTAGTATACCCGTCAGTTTTATATATTTCATATGCAATATTATTTATTTGATTAATAATGCATTTTAAATTCAGTTAATTATAATATTTACTATATACCATAAGCGACATTGTATGAATATTTAGCAAAAGAAAAATAAAATAATTTTTCTCAAATTGCTTGAAAATAAGATTGGAAAAAATTAAATGGCTAATAAAAGATTTCCGATAAGGGATAAATTGGAAACTTGTCAAATATGAAGCTGAATCATCTTGGATTTGACTTTGTAAAACGGTGTATTCACGGCACATCTGGAAATACCCAGCGTTATATCGAAATATCGCATCCTATAACAATTTTTATCGTAATAAAAGTTTTATTAAATTCGATTAATGAAATTTAAGAGAAAAGCTACGATTTTGAGTAAAATAAGATTGGGATAAAATGAACTGCTTATCACCACTTAATTTTACTGGCAAATAAGATTTTCCATTTGTTAAGCATAAAGTTCTTCTTTAAATATATAAATTTATAAATATAAATATATATATATTTATAAATATATAAATTTTTAACTAGTTCATCCTACTGAAAAATTAAAATCTAGTAGCTTAAAAAAATAAAAGTTATGTTTTAGGAAGAAAAATGTTCGAAATCCTACCATGCCACTCATTTTATTTCTTTAGGTTTGAAAATTAGTTTTTTTCGTTGATCAAAAATCACCGAGTGCTCCGAATAATTAAATAAGACTTAAAAAATAAAACCAGAAAGTCGCCATTTTCATTCGTTTTGTTGATTGGCCTTGGTTCGATGACATAGACCCAGCTGTTCGTTATTAGTGGTATTGAATGTAAAAAAGTCAATAGAATTCCAATAAATGATGTTATTGACCACAGAATTGTATCTGTACATCTAGCATCGATTAATGCCTTTAAATTAACTTCGAAAGGAATGTCCCGATGAGAAAACTTTAATTTTTTACGAAAAAAATTGGAAAAGAGATGAAAGTTTGATGGCAGTTAAAATCTTTATGGATTTGAATGGATTTTTAATAATGGATACATTGTATGTAATTTTGTTTTTCTCTTCTTTGTTCTTTTTCCAGGAATGGTTGTTCAAGTATAATTCTAACAAGTAATGGTTAAATTATTTGCGACTTTATTGGGCAATTAACTACAAGTTTATTGAGATATTTTAATGAGGATTTTTACAATCAAATAATTTTTAATAAAATTCCTCAATAATTTAAATAAATGTGAATTGCTTTTTAAGTAAAATATTTGCTGCCAGCGAATGAATTTCAATTTTTCTTAAAATTATATGAATTTTCCATAGCAAAAAAATGCGAAACTACATCCTTAAAATATTTTTAAAAATATTTTAAAAGAAATATGGATTTAATGAAATAAATATGAACATAAATTTATAGAGAAATCCAGCAATCTCTGTTGAAAATTATTTATTTTGATCAAAGCCTTAGTATAATTATAGTAGAGAAAATGGTTATACTAGATGTTACGATTAGATCAGCTATATTTCTTTTCCCAAGTAATTCTTTGGCTTCCCATCTCATTTCACTCCAGTTAGAGGCAGCCAATTCAGGATTTAGCACTCTTGGAAAAAGAAGATAGATGTAGATGTGCGTTAATTCGTATTTTCAATTCTTTAAATCAGTTAAATAGTCCTTTTATATGAAAAAAAAGAATTCTTACTTAAAGAAATAGTGCAAATTTTTAAATAATAAAAATTTACGAGAAAAAAAAAACAAAAATTAATTTGCATAAGAAATTTATTCGAATTAACCTGAAATCTATCTCTAATTGCTTGAATTTGCTTGGCTAATATTGTTATAAGTTTTAATTTAAGAATGAAAAATTACCCTCGAAACTTGCCTTGCCAAAATTTTTGGTCTACCAGGATTGCTTTCATTAATATTGCAATTATACAATCGATCCGTTCTTTCATTAAATTTGGAAATTCTAAAAAAAGTTTTTACGTTTTAAAACGTTTTTATTGCCATATTTCCAAAAAAATTTATTCTGTTCAAATTCTTTTATAAAAAAGTTTTATAAATTTATTTAGAAAATTTTATATAAGGATTAAATATTTGGAGAAAAATGGAGCAATAACCAAATGACTACGATGAACATTCATTCATTAGGTTTCCGGTCAGGCTTGATCCACTGGCTATCAATAAGATAAAACAACTTTGCCAGCAGAACACTTATAAATAGTTGGTCCCTCGCCATCCAGGTTTTTTAGATATGCTCACCCAATATTTCAGAAAAATTATTACATGAAAATTACATATATAAATACGACAAAATAAAAAGCTGATTTTTCTATATTTTGCAGTTCTATCTTCATTTTTTCCTTATAGCTATTCATCTTTTATGATGAATCTTTTTAATGGTTAGATGCGAACGAACCTTTGTTTAAATTCATTCCTACAGTTGATCAGATCCATTGAATTTGAATAAAAAAGAAGAAAAGAAATAGCAGCTAGGATCAGATTTAGTCGACCTTTATTTAAATAAATAATAAATTTGAAAGAAAAAAACCATAAAATTACGAAAGAAAGAAGGAGATGCAGCGAGAAGCGCTGACGACTATTCAATCTTACTTCTTCTTCTTCTAATAAGTCAAAGCCAATTTCTATTTAAAAGCTATTTATGCTGGACTATTTGAAGAGAAGAGACTTGTATGCCCCTTGAGATGAATTACGACAACTTCAATAAAACATTTGTCAATAAGAAAATTTTTGTGCTAATAAATTGAAAAGTTTTTTAAATTCTAAACAGTAAAATTAACTTTGAAAACCCATCAATATTTAATATTACATGCATTCTTTTCTTTGTCGGAATTTAGAGGATGGATTTTTGAAATGAAAGACTTGCTTCATAAATCCCATAGTCCAGGATACTTTTCACTTTTAATATAATTTAATCTATTTACTGAAGTAAATATTCTTCAGGAAAAGCAACTTTTTTATAATAATTTTTTAAAAGAGGACATGCATTACACTTAACTGATCGAAAATCTTTATTGTATTAAAAAAAAGAGATTTTTTATAGACAAAATAGAACGGATGCTTTAATTAAGTAAGTATCGATTTTCTACTATTCTCAATAATCCTTAATGCCAGAATAAAAAAAATTTTTGCGACGCAAAATTTAAGAGATTTAATGGCCACAATTCGTGTATAGTAAATAAAAAGAATGCGATTGATGATTGGCATTATCGTGAATTATATAAGAATATGCAGTATATGACAAGTGACACTTAAGGTGAAATAATTGGGCCATTGAGAAAAGCAATTTTCTTTTCGCTCAAAGTAGATCCTACTATCGAACGTTTGATTTACAACTGAGTTTCATGAGTTACCTGAAGCAATAATTATTTACTTTCTTTGAATTAAATGGGCGAATAATTTTTCACATATTGTTTTCTTGAATGTTAACAATTTAAAGGCTGTCAAACACAGTATTTGTTTCATTAGTGCCTTTTGAATATATAAATAAAGCAACAGGTGTTTCGCCTTATTGACACACGGATGGTTTTCGTTAGTTTTACGATTGGCCTTTTGGCGAAAATATTGTAATTTTTGATGCTAATAACATTTTAATTGTGAACTGCACATAATTTAGAATTAGTAATTGCACCAGCGTATAGTAGAATAAAATAAGGAAAATAGAATTTTTTCTGCATTTAATTATAAAACTGTAATTAATTAACTGTAATTAATTTTATAAAAAACCTTGCAATGTTCACTTTTTTAATGTCATCATAGCCGCTAAAACCTTAAAAAGTTCCAAAATGAAAAAAAAATTAAAAAATTTTATTAAATGGAAGAAGAAAGTACCGACGTAAAGCGATCAAGACCAAGCATATTGCCAAAAAAATTGATGCACTTCCTACGCAATTCATTATCATATTTTGCTGCCAGGTATTCATCATTCCTGTCACTCCAAATGTAATCAACATAAGTCCACCGACACCACAGATACCCGCCATTAGATAAAATGAGTAACTATAAAATAATTATAACAATAATAATTAAAATAATTAAAAATAATTAAGATAGCATCATCGAAGAATGCAGTTTGAGAATCCTAAAGCTCAGGAAATAAAGAAAAAAGGAGAAAAATTTAATGCATAACTTCTTGGTAAGACATACTATATACATGAATGAGTAGTTACTGCACTAAAGGAAATATGTGGTCCATTTGCTCGCGCACGATACCCACCAATCAAAATTGCCTGAAAAATTGCTATAACAAAAGTGGTGCTTTTGAATAAAAATCGTATCCATCTGGCAAAAAGCTTTAATAAAATCATTTGCTATACGATTTTCGACTTTATGTCTGTAAGTCAGTTCTTATTCAGTTCTATCAGTTCTTTATTCGTTCCAGATGATTTGATAAATCGTCCGATTTATGAGCTTTTTTCTTTGTAAATATTGTCTTTGTAAATTTAAAAATAATTTTGGGCGATAAGGGCATCTCAAGAAGATAATTTACTTTAGAACTAAAGCATTGGTACAGAACGAAATTATTGAAATCGGTTAAACTTCAGATATGGAAGTTGAAAGTAAAAAAAAGTAAGAAGTAAAAGACCTTGGATGAAAGATTATCGTTGAAAATATAATAAAGAAAAAAATTCTGTTTCTCTGAAAAATGAAGTACATTTTAATGGAATTGGAAAGGCGAAATCACTGATTAAATTTACAGAGATGGACTTGCATAAGGAATTTTAAATAAACTGGGCGACTTTAAAGGCTTTCTTTCTTCAAAGCTCCAGAATTTATCTTTTAAAACGTAAAGATCGCTCGCACCTGCATGTTAGATGAGATTTAGATGAGATTTCGTTCATTTCGTTCGAAATATCATTTTGTATAGATTTACGACAATATGGCGGCAATAGATAGACCGGGTAGCGATTCAACTACAATATGAAATTTATATTTCGTGCATTTGAAATTTCGTGGACAATGTTCTTATTCTGTATTTTTTCATTTTCATTTATTTTTATGTTGTATTCAGAAGGATTTTTAATAAATTATTGATTTTAAAATTGAAAAAAATTTATCTCAAATATTAATGATACATGCATTTATGAAATATCGAAATATAAAATGGTCAAACGAATGAAAAAAAGACGCTGCAAAATTGAATGACTCGAAAATAATTTTAACTTAAAAAGAAGCGAATCTTGCACCAAAATGCATCCATGACTTGGTGAAATTCAAATGATTATTTAACTAAACAAAAAAATCCCAAAGCTACTAGTTGCATAATGGTAATATTACTATAATATTACTATACTAGCGGTATGTACTAGCGGTTAATACTCACAATTTCTCATGAAGTTCAATCGATTGGCTATTGGTGCAACGAGGAATTATTGGAGAGAGTTACCTAGGGATAGAAATACATGTGGGTTGCCAGCACCATCCAGACTTTTTGATGAAATTGTTGTCAGGACTATGGTGCTTGATAACAAAGCAAACCACTCGACTATTCCGTTTATTGATTTACATTTGTTTCTTATAAGGAGAACTGGCAAGGATTTTGCAAATAAAATCGCTCTAGTCTTTTAAAGCAGCAGTAGTATTTCAGATTAACATAAATATTAGTTAAGCGTCATCCTATTTAACTAAATTTCTTTTTAATGAAAAAAACTATTAACTTACTTCTAATCTATAAAAAATTGCAAAAAAATTCAGAAAATTGAAACGCATCCTTAGCAATGATTACTTATATAATATTTGTAATATTTTTTAAAGTAATAATATTTATAATATTTTTTGAGGTAAAAATTTAAAATGATTTCAGGACGTTTCAGGACGTTCGAATAAATTGCCTACATCTTACCAATTTGCTTCATATTTGAATATTTTTGGATACTCGATTACATATTGAACACAAGCATCCGTAAGATTCATGAAACCTGAGAAAACCCCGAAAAGATTTAAACTGAAGATAATTGAAAAGAAATCATCAAAATGAAATTGTATTTTAGCTAAATGAAATTGAACTGATGGAAGATTCAAAATCAAATTTTAAAAAATCATCCAATTTTTTTTCATGGAATTTTCTTGAATATTTCTTGAATATTTTCCGTGAAAATCAACGGCATCATTTTAACGGCAATTTTTTATCGACAACAT